ATTTTATAATACAATTATATTCCTAAACAATGTTACGTAACACATACCAAAAACATTTTGTATAGAAATCCTGGGGTCAGTTGTGTTCTATATATGGGGATATAGAAAGTCTTCTTAAATACGTTTCATATCAAGCAAGAGTACTATATGAATTAAAATTATGTTGCACTTCAATATTCATTCTTATTTAAACACATCTGATGTGGGGGAGAAGGTTTGTGCTAATAATATAATTGATTTTTCTGCTGTGTTCAAATTTGTGTAATTATTTAGGGCCTGTTCGGTCTCATTGAAGTCAGTGGTAAAACTCCTGTTGATGTCAATGATGAAGGATAAGATCGTTGCATGTATGTGAAGTAGGTGTAAAACTACCATTCTGGGCCCCAAACCTGCAAACCCTTTTGTGTGCATTTAAATGTATTCATGAGTTGCCCATTGACATCAAGTCTTGTTGAAGTCAAGAAGATTATTTGTATGAGAACAGTTAACCATATCATGCATGTTTGTATGACCAAGGCCCTGTCTGATTAGCATTTTACATCTGCTTTTGCCTTATTTGTTAAAAAATATATGTACATGAGTACCAGCAAGTTGAGGGAAAGCATATTGCATTGCTAACATAGATATTATTTCATATATCTTGATCATTTGCTATACATTGATCATTGGCTATATTCCAGCATATGACATATGGTATCTGTTTCTTGGGTAGTAAGCAAGTGCTATATCTCAGCTTCATTTTTTTTCTCGGTGACACTTGCACATAGCCATAGCGTGGTATAGTTCCTGTAGAACTAAAAGTGATTTTTATCCTTGTAAAAATGCACCTTATTGGTTTAAACACCCTGTTATAATGTTGGGAACACTGTGATCTTCAAGTTTATTGTATTAGTTTTGTACTGTATATTACACATGCAGTAATAGAAGCCAGAGTAATAGAACCTTTTAAAGCCATGTTAATATTAGCTTAGCAGTGATAGAGAAAAATCTATGTATACACACATTGATGATATAAAAGCTGTGATTATCTTTTGCTTTACAATAAAAGCCTAATCTTAAATGTTATGGATATTTGTATTGATTGATTAATTATTCTTCAGAATACTTGCTTTAGGTACCACTTTTTACCCCTTCAAATCAATACTGACTCAATATCCCATTATCATTCTTGGTGGCACTGTGCTACTGGAGATGAGGTCTTTCGCATGAGAAGTAAAACCAAGGTCTGGACCATCTGTGGTCATTAAAGATCCCATGACAGCATTCATAATAATAAAGACAGGTAATCTTCGGTGTATTGGGCAGTTTCCAATTGTGTGTATATACATACACACACTCCCTCTTCCTTATTTAAAGAGCCCAATCCTCAGAGCACCTTCAGTTACCTTGTGAAAAATGTTAGCACATTTTAAAAAAAAAATCTAAGCCCTCTCTTCACTATAGCTTCCCTCTGTGCTATCACCTGTGGAGTGACAAATTATGGAGCTGCGGTAAACTGTGAGCTCTAGATTTGCCAGTGCAGATGCAGATCTAGAAATCTGCGAACAAGACAGTTATCACTTTTTCTCAGAAGACTCGTAACAAATCTGAAGTTGATACATAATGTTATGAATACTGCTCTGTAATAATTTTAAGAACACTGTGACCTGGCCACTAATGGCAAATTATGGGTTTATTGGAATGTTTATTATGCACTAAGGCAGCTCAAGTTTGGCGGCTCTGTACAGGCAGGTGTCACAGTAGCTTCTCCTATAGGAGTATCCAAGCACACGGTTGAAAGTGCACTGTCTGCAGGGGCTGCTGAACTGGGTATAAACCAGGACTGAGCAAACCCGGCACATGCCAGGTCCAGGAGCTACCCCTACTTTGACTCTGCACTTTAAATGTAGTAGGAGCACGTTCAGCTCTTACTACATTTAAACTGTAGAGCCGCAGTGGGGGTAGCTCCTTCTGAGTGCCTTTCCTTATCGACTAATTGTGTGGTTGATACAAATTGTATTGACTACGTAATTACTCGCCTCTTAACATCCTTAGAAAGAATTGCAGGATTTAGAAGTCAGACCTGCTGAGCCCATACCCTTTCTTCACTCAAACTCCTCACCCAGCCCCTGCCTCGCATGCATCCCCTGCCTAAGGCTCCAGAAAAGAGTTTGGGTGGGAGAGGGGAGCAGGCTCTGGAAGTTTTGGGTGTTGGATGCGGGCTCTGGGATGGAGCAGGGGATTGGAGCAGGAGGAGGTACATGATCTGGGAGGGAGTTTGGGTGCTGGTGCAGGCTCTGGGCTGGAACAAAGGTTTGGGGGCATGAGGGGATGCAGAGTGCAGGCTTTGGAAAGGACTGTAGGTATGGGAAGGGGTGTAGCATGCAGGCTCTGGGTGGGGGCAGGAGATAAGGATGTAGGCTCTGGAAGGGGCTTTGGGAGCTTGAGGGATACAGGGGAAGCTGGGGGCTGTACGGAGCCCTGAAGCTTCCATTGGTCACAGTGGCACTGAGCAGGGGCAGCACATGGAGAAAATGAACCACAAGAACATGCTGGCAGCCATGCAGAGTTAGCAGCAGGACGCCACTCTAGCCCTGTTGTGCTGGCGAGGAAGAGGAGGGAACAGGGGCTGGACCATTTTTAAATTGATAAGGGGATGCAGGGAGGGATGAGGTGGAGACAGACTGGCTGCGTCTAGACTGGCATGATTTTGCGGAAATACTTTTAATGGAAAAGTTTTTCCGTTAAAAGTATTTCCGCAAAAGAGCGTCTAGATTGGCACGGATGCTTTTGCGCAAAAGCATCCGTGCCCAGTATAGATGCGCTTTTGCGCAAGAAAGCTCCGATGGCCATTTTAGCCATTGGGCTTTCTTGAGAAAAAAATTAAGGTGCCTGTCTACACTGGCCCTCTTGTGCAAGAGGACTTATCCCTGAGCAGGAGCGTCAAAGTATTTGTGCAAGAAGCACTGAATTCTTACATTAGAACGTCAGTGCTCTTGCGCAAATTCAAGCAGCCAGCGTAGACAGCTGGCAAGTTTTTGCGCAAAATCTTGCCAGTCTAGATGCACCTACTATGTCTACACTACACTGATGTATCGGGAAAAGGTACACAAATTGCACCCTTTGGAAGAGGCTTTTCTGAAATTTGGCCTGTCTACACTGGGCCAAATTTCCAAAAAGCCTCCTCTTTCAGAAGAGCCCTTCTTCCTCGTGGAGTGAGGAAGACCGGGCTTCCAAAAAGAGCACATCTGCTCTTCTGCAAAAAAAAGTGGAAGAGAAGATGCATTCCCTGGATATGATGGAGTTTTCCCTGGATACCTCTGGGATCCAGGAAAAACCCCACAGTGTAGACAGCCTCAGTCTTGAACTTTGCTGGAGCAGGGTTCCCAGGCCAGGAATATTCCTGGAGCCAGGACACCCTTGTCCATATGACTCACTGCCCATGCTGCTGAGTTAAATCACAGTTGTTACTCAGGAGGAGACTGGAACCCAGGACCCAATCTGAGAGCAGGACAATCTCACAATTCTGCTATGAAACTGGTGATGCCTTGAGGCCTGAAAGCTAGAGGGGATGAGCTTGCAGAGACCAGGAAGGCGCAGTTTGCCCAGTAAGTGAAACAATACCACTTGCTCTTTCTGGTCATTAGCTCATTTTCTTTAAAGCCACCCTATTGATGCAGATGTGTTCACCTTGCCTTTATAAGCTTCAATCTTCATTCCTCTTTAAGAAGTATGTGTCACCATCCAATAGCAGTGGCTGTTTCTGTGGAGCAGGTGGCCAAACTAAGAATTAATGGTCTTAACCTTTAAAGCAGCATTTCTCTTTGGGCATCTGAAACGCCTTAATTACTAGATGGGTTCATTAAACTGTTATGTAATCAGGGTGGCATCGTTGGGAGAGAGCACAGCGATTAGCCACAAAACTCCTTTTCAGCATGAACCTTGTTAATGATTGTCTCTGCTAACTTAGATGACACATTATAATTACCGTGGACTAATATCAATGACAGCCTCTTTGAGGGTGGAGATGTGTCTCAGGACGATTTCGCTGCCGGATGGATAAAAATGTGTGGAGCCTCCTGGGACTTCTGCAGAGGAGGGTTGTGGTGAGACATTCCCCTCATAATCCGTGATAGCTGGCGTCTGATTTGAGAAAATGGAGGTCTTTTCTGAAGCGGTCTGCACATCCCTGCTGAGCACACAATCGGTGTTGACTATGATGTTAATGTCCCACAGTCAGGATCAGAGACCCGTTGTGCTGGGTGTTGTAGGAACACAACTCCTAGTCCCGCAGTTGGTGGAGTAGTCATTTGAGGAGGCATTAGGTGGTCAAATATTGGAATAAATTGCCAAGGGAGGTGGTGGAATCTCCCTCTCTCGAGATATTTAAGAACAGGTTAGATAGACATCTGTCAGGGATGGTGTAAGTGGAGCTTGGTCCTGCCTTGAGGGCGGGGGGCTGGACTCGATGACCTCTCGAGGTCCCTTCCAGTCCTATGATTCTATGATTCTATGACACTGGCAAGCTACCCTTCCCCTACCCATCTGCCGGGCTTGCTGAACTCAGAAGAGTAGCCCCCTATCCTAGGGGTAGGCAACAAGGACCGGAGTCCTCTCCACCCTCCTGCTTCCACCTTTCTCCCCCGAGCGTTGCTGGCTGCGGGTCGCTGTCAGGAGGGGGTGGCAGTGCAATGAGGTCGGAGAGCCTAGGGGGGTAACTGGGTTCAATGGCACCGCCCGCTCTATACACCGTGTCCCCGCCGCCCGCTGTTGGGCCCCTGGAGCTGACTCCTCCGGGGGCCCGGGCCCTTACTCCCCGCCCCACAAAGGAAGAAGCGGGCGCCTCTCGGCCTGGGCTGGCCAAGCCCCTTTGCCGTGCAGCCCTGGCTGCTCCCCGCCCCGGCTGGAGGTGCCGCTGCCCGGGCAGGAGCCAGGCGGGCGGGGGCACCCAAAGGCCCGCGGCTGGGCAGCTGCAGCAGGCGGCCGCCCCGAGGCTCCCTCTAGCGGGCTCGGCGCTCGCCACACCCCCGCGGCAGGCAGCCCGGGGAGCCCCGGCCGGGGAGCGGGGGCCCTGCCCAGCCGGCTGCCGCACACAGATAACCACGCGCGGGCTGCCTGCAGGGGCGGAGATGAAATTCCCCGGCTCCGTCCTCGTCTCCCTGCTCCTCTTCGTGGCCGAGACGGGCACCGCCCTGTACCTGGGCAGCACCTACCGCTCGGCCGGGGACCGCATCTGGCAGGGGCTGACCCTGCTCTTCGCCCTCCTGCCCTGCGTGCTGGTGCAGCTCAACCTGGTCCTAATCCACCGGGACCTGAGCCGGGACAGACCGCTGGTGCTGCTGCTGCACATCCTGCAGCTGGGGCCCGTCGTCAGGTGGGGGCGGCTGCTGGGCTGGGAGCCGGGCCGGGGGTAGGGGGACCGAGTCCTGCCTTGGCCCTTTTCGCTGGGTTAAAAGGCATCCCCGGCGAGCCGCCGCTCCCTCCCTCCCCGCGGGCTCTAGCGGGGGGCTGCCCGGAGAGCAGCCGCGCTCGACTCCATGGAGCGGAGCTGTCCGCTCGCTCTGCAGCGTTGAGCTCATTTGCTGCAGCTTTTTTTCGCTTTCGGAAGCCTAGCGAGCTCCCTGCGTTTGTGCATAATCGCCCACGGCTGCCCAGAGGATTCAGGAGGCCTGGGGCAAAGCAATTTCGGGGGCCCCTTCCATAAAAAAATACTGTGTGTCTAGGTTTGCAATGTGCAGCGCGCGCGGTTACATGTGTTACCTTGGCGCAGTCTTCAGATTTGTGTTGCAGCTGCCGCTGTGTTCCTGGGATGGCAGCACGGTGACGCCTTTGTAATACACGCAGATGTGTGTGCATGCTCGTTCGCTCTCTTCACATCCCTGTCCTGTGTGTCTGCAGAGAGCTGTGTGTATGTGCATATGCTGGGTGTTTGGGTTCTGTGTGGGTGCTAATAGGTACAGCCATGTTTATGCATATCAGCTAGATCTGTGCATGTTGTGTGTGTCTTTGCACAACCTCCCCAACTGCATGAACTCCCCTACAAGGCTTTGTGCCTATGCACCTGCATTCTTCAAAGTAACAGTAATACTGTAGAATATGCTTTAATTGTTGTTGTTGTTTTTTTCAGTCAGAATGATTTATGTTTCTGTCCTGAGGGCCAATACAGGGAAAAGTAATAGAGATGTAGTCTTGTTAGTCTGGTCTTGCTGCAACAAAAGACAGGACTAATTCAGGGAAAGGCTGTAGTATTTGGCCAGCCTTGGGAATCCACAAATTTTAACACTTAGCATTGAAGAAAATAGGTTGTGAGTCCCCCTCCCCACACTACACCTCCCAAGTGGCAAGCAAACAGTCTTCTCTTCTAAATAGTGACACCTTTGCTGAGGCTGAGATGGACTCTAGAAGCTATTTTCTGTTTGTGCAGACAGGGGCCATTTCTCTAAAGTTGCTTGACTCTTGTGAATGAGATAAGCCATTTGATAGTTGTGGTGAATGTGTAAGCTATACCTCACTGCAAATTTCTGCATAGTGGTGGCATACATCAGAATGATGTAACATGAACAAAGGGAAACTCCTAATGTGGCTTAATTTAAATATTTTATGATAATGAAACCATAGTTAATGTTAGTATTTATAACTTTCAAGACTCCTTTCTTCCACAAGGTGTACTCTGTTTAACAAGAGAGACCAAAATTCCACTTTAGATATTGCATTGAAAATGCACTTTGAAATAATACTATCCGCAAGAAAAATATTTTGGTCATTTGATATAAGCCTATAACAAAGTATTTTCTCTTTTTCTTTTATGTGCCATGACTCTTTACAATGTTTTTATCTGCATAAGTATACATATGCATGCCATTTTTCAAAAATCAACAAAAAAGAGAAAAAAAATAAATTTCTATATGGAAAGGAGAAGGGGTTTGGCTCAAAGATTTTAAAACTTGTTGAAAAGCCATCTGTAAATCTGAATGTTTTTTTGTTCATTCATTATTTTGGTGAGATACTGTCAATTTAAATTTGGCCCAAAATTTAAGTTATGTTCTAGATTTTCTAAAAACGAAGTCCAATAGAAATAGTTCCAAACCCAAATAAAATATTGCCAGTGAAATCAAAGTGAAAAGGACTATGAACGAAAACTAGTCTGACTTCATCAATTTTCATTTCCTAAGACAAGAGACATGGAAAAAGAAAACAAAAAGCTTAAATAGTGACATAAATAAAAATTTCAAAAATTCTGTGAGTGAAATCTTAACCATGTTGAAGTGAAAGGATGATCTACATGTGCTTGATCTTGCCATGAGTGCATGGGATTGGACTTGCTGATCTCTCACAGTCCCTTCCAGTATTCTATGATTCTAGTATTCTGCCATCTCTTTTTTAATCATCTTTAAGTGTTTCAATAATATAGCTAAATAAATGTTTGTTTACAGTATCTGAGTCTTAAATTACATTATGTAGTAAGCATTCTGTGATGTGTTGATCAAGACCAAAATGCAAGTACAGTTAGCATGGCCCTACAGAAATATTGTCATTTCCATGGAGGTTTCCCTGTTCATGTATGTCGTCATTGCTACACTTTGGAACTAGATTGTCTTTAAACTGGTTATCATATATTTAATCACTAGAGGATTTACACGGTGCTGCGCAGGTGCTTAACTGAAATAATTTTTGTTTTTCTTCATGTAAATCATTGTTTTGGGATGAGCCTGGGAATGAGGGGTTCAGTATGTAGACTTTCCCAGGGAGAGAGGACTACCCCCAGCCCTCTCTCACCACAGCAGTTTGGGTCCAGGTGAGAAGCGCTTCTCTATGGCCACTGCAGCTCCAGCGGACACAGCTATGGAAGGGGTTGATGTCCCTCTGCTGGGCTACAGACACACTCTCTAAAATATATAATAGATTAGCTGTTCCTTTCTCCACCTCTGCCTCAATGGGGTTATACTGTCCTGGCCCCCATCTCTGACCCCTTGCTGTCCCCAGTGGTCATTATATAGTATAACTCTCTCTCACTCTCTTTTTCCTTTTTATGAGGAACAATCATATTCCAGACACATCCGATTGTCCTGGCACAACCAAATCCTTACCTTGCTTCTGATAATAGGCATCTGAATACCAAATTTGGTGGTCCTAGCTCTTACCATTTAGGAGTTCTTGGACAGTTTGTGTGTATCTGTCTATTCATCTGTTAGTCTCTCTCAAATATATAGTAGATTTGCAAAGAACTGATTGATAGCTCTAGAGAATTTAGAGGTTATCGGATTTTCACTACTGTTCACAAAAATAAATATATTCATTTCATTTATGAAATTCCCTCTATAGCAACAGCACTAAGGACACTGTCCTACATAATAAAAATAGAAGCTTAGTAAATCAATGTTCTCTTTATATTCAAAGAATATAATCAATCAAGAGATCAAAAAGAGAATGTATGTGTGAGAGGAGAGTGGTTAGAATAAGGAAGCTAATGGTAATAAGTTCACAGTGTTTTTCTACCTTGATTCCCCCCAACCACACTTGCACAAATCCTAGTTTGGTCCAGTAGAACAGGAAACAGATCCCAATAAGAAGGGCCGGCCCGAGGCATTCTGGCTTCCCGGGCACGGCCCAGTCCGGCCCAGTTGTTGCTGCTGGCGCACGCGCTGGGCCATATAGGGCGCCGCGGCCGTGGGGGGAAGGGCGTTGCTGGCCGCACCGCAGGGATGTGGGCGCTGCGGGAGCCAGGCGCCCGGCGCCTGACGGCAGCTGTAAGGAACACCACGTGTCCCTTACAGCTGCCCTCAGGCGCCTCCCATCAGTTGGCTAGCCGGGCAGCTGCCCAGGGCGCGCATGCCTCCGTCAGGCCCTGCCTATAAAGCTATTAACCAGTACTGATCTATTGTGTAAATAGTGCAGTGGTAGAGAGAACACCTTCTTCCAGAAAACCAGCCACATCGTTACACACTTTAAGGCTATGTCTATACTGTAGCCTTCTTTTGCAAAAGCTTATGCAAATAGTGCAGAGTGGAATATCGCCACGCTTTATTTGCATAATTAATTAGCAGCCGTTTTTGCGCAAGAGGCTTTTGGGCAAAAAAGAACTGTGTAGACGGCTCCTTTTTGCGCAAAAACCCCCTCTTGTGCAAGAGCCGTTTTTCCTGAAAAAATGAGGAAGGTTTTTGTGCAAAAAGAAACCGTCTACATAGCTCCTTTTTGCGCAAAAGCCTCTTGCGCAAAAATGGCTGCTAATTAATTATGCAAATGAAGAGTGGCGATATGCGCCACTGCGCTTCATTTGCATAAGCTTTTGCGGAAGAAGGCTACAGTGTAGACATAGCCTTAGTCTGCACAGTACACTCTTACTGGGTGATGCGAACCAGCAACTGATGGTCCAACCAGGCCAAAGAGGATGGAGAGAGGCTGTTCTCAGTAGTGATGGAGGGCAGAACAAGGAGCAATGGTCTCTAATTACAGTGGGAGAGGCCTAGATTGGCTATTAGGAAAAAGTATTTCACTGGGATGGTGGTGAAGCACTGGAAGGGGTTACCTAGGGAGGTGGTGGAATCTCCATCCCTAGAGGTTTTTAAGTTTTGGCTTGACAGAGCCCTGGCTGGGATGATTTAGTTGAGGTTGGTCCTGCTTTGGGCAGCGGGCTAGATTGATGACCTCCTGAGCTCTCTTCCAGCCCTAGGATTCTATGATTCTAACCAGGCTGGAGCAGCTCCCCACTCATGGCACAGTGCAGTGGGGCCAGTCCAGCCAGAGAAGCTCCTTCCGCCCACCCATGGTGCAGTGTCATGGGCCCAGCCAGTCCTGCAAGTGGGGGTGGGGAACTGCTCCATGATTAATCGGTTAAACATAGTGTTTAACCATTTAACTTTTAAAATAATTTACATTCCTAATAACTAGGAGGTACGTCTACACTTGCACCCTCTTTTCAGAGAGGGATGCAAATGAAGACATTTGAAATTGCAAATGAAGCTGGGATTTAAATACCCCATGCTTCATTTGCATAATCGCGTTATGGCGCTATTTCGAAATACAAAACACGGTGTAGATGCGGTTATTTCAAGAAAATACCCTTCTTCCGAAATAACTGGTTAAACCTCATTTTATGAGGAATAAGGGTTATTTTGAGAGAAGGGTTTTCTCTCGAAATAACTGCGTCTTAACAGTGTCTGTTATTTCGAAATAGCGCCATAACGCGATTATGCAAATGAAGCATGGGGTATTTAAATCCCAGCTTCATTTGCAATTTCAAATGTCTTCATTTGCATCCCTCTCTCGAAAGAGGGTACAAGTGTAGACATACCCTTGTAGAGTCCCCCAGGGGCCTGTACTGGGACCAATCCTATTCAACATATTCAAAAAAAATCTGGAGAGAGGAGTAAACAGTGAGGTGGCAAAATTTGCAGATGATACTAAACTGGTCAAAATAGTTAAATCCAAAGCACCCTATGAAGCGCTTGAAAAGGATCTCACAAAACTAGGTGACTGGCCAACAACATGGCAGTTGAATTTTAATGTTGATAAATGCAAAGTAATGCGTATTGGAAAACATAATCCCACCTATATGTACAAAATGATGGGGACTAATTTAGCTATTACCACTCCAGAGAGAGAGAGCCTGGAGTCATTGTGGATAGTTCTTTGACAACATCCACTCAGTGTGTAGCAGCAGTCAAAAAGCAAATAGAATGTTAGGAATCATTTAAAAAGGAATAGAGAAAAAGACAGAAAACAGCTTATTTCCTATATATAAATCTATGGTACACCCACATCTTCAATAGTGTGTACAAATGTTGGTCGTCTCATTCCAAAAAGTTACTTGGCATTGGAAAAAGTTCAGAAAAGGGCAACAAAAATGATTAGGTGTATGGAGTGGCTGCAATATTAGGAGAAATTAGTAAGACTGGAACTTTTCACCTGAGAAAAGAGGAGGCCAAGGGAGGATATGATAGGAGTCTATATAATCATCACTGATGTAGAGAAAATAAATAAGGAAAAGTTATTTACTTGTTCCCATAACACTAGAACTGGGGGTCACCAAATACAATCTAACAGGTAACAAGTTTAAAGCAAACAGAAGGGAGTATTTCTTCACACAACACAGTCAAACTGTGAAACTCTTTGCCAGGAGATATTATGAAGAGAGCAGGTCTTTAACAGGGTTCAAAAAAGTAATAGATAAATTCACAGAGATTAGGTCTATCAATGGCTATTTGCCAGTATAGGCAGGAATGGTGTCCCTAGCCTCTGTCAGAAGCTGGAAATGGGTGACGGGTTGGATCACTTGATGATTCTCTGTTCTGTTCATTCCCTCTGGGGGACCTGTCAGAATACAGCATAGATGGACCTTTGAGCTGATCCAATATGGCCAGTCTTATCTTCTTATATAGGGTAGTTGGCAAGTAGTTATTTTAGAAATTAATGGAACCAATGATTGTTCCTGTGAGCCAACTGAGGGCCAGCTTCTCAAAGGTAATTATGTGCCTAGATCCCAATTGGAATTAGGTATTAACTGTGAGGATCTGGGTCTAACCCTGTGATGCAGCTGCGTGTGAATGCGTAGTCCACTTTAGTGCCACAGATATGTACTAAACTTGTTTTATGAGGGCTACTAGAACTGGCCTCATTCACAGGAAATTACACTAGGCTCACAAATCTTGCTCACGTACTTAATTTCAAATTCAGGGTGGTTCACCCTCTCTGGGTCACGTTTGTGGTTGTCATAATACAGAAGTTGAGAGATGAATTGGTTCTCAGAGAGTAGAGCACACACTATTAGCAATTGTAGAAATGGTACAGAATGCTAATAAGGTTATTGCAAGCCCTTTCATTTTTTTTCTGTGACACTTTCTCTATCAATTTATTTCCAGGTGTGTGGAAGTCTTTTATATTTACTTTCATGCGGGGAGGTTTGAAGAGCCTTATGTCAGCATCACGAAGAAGAGGCAGATGCCTAAAGATGGACATTCAGAAGAAGTGGAAAAAGAAGTAGGCCAGGCTGAAAGAAAGCTGTTTACACATAGATCTGCATTCAGCAGGGCCTCTGTGATCCAGGCTTTCCTTGGCTCTGCACCGCAGCTGACTCTTCAGCTGTATATATGTGTCCTGCAACAGGAGATCACAGCAGCTAGAAGTATGTACAGTTTGTGTTCCATCTGTGTATTGGTGGGAAAAAGAGGTGGAGGGTCAGAGGTTGCTCTCTGCTAAACTGCCTACTTTTGCCTCAGCTGGAGAAACAAGTTGGAAACTACTTCATTTGCTGGGCATATTCCAGTATGTTTCAGCCAGCAATTACTTTGTGCTACACCTGTTCTCCTCCACTCCATTAAATTTTAGATTAAAGCACTTCTTATGGCATATTTAGGGTGCTCCATAAAAAGTAATCTTGTGGATCACATTCATGGCAAGATAAGGAGATAGATTATCAAGGAGGCAGAGTAACTGAGATATATTCAAGGAGAAAAAAATTGCCCTGGATTCCCCCTTAAATGCTTGGCAGGGATACATGGTAATACATGTGTCCCCCATGCTGGCACAAGGAAGAACTACTTTAAGAAATAAAATAAAAATAAAATATGTACAGAGACACCCTAAAAGATTTCTTTTTCCTTGGCTGTTGCCATGGTAGCACGTGCTTCTGTTATAGCACTAGAAGGACATGGTCCATGCCTTGCCTGCTGATGTTCTGTAAGGTCCAATTATTAATCAGTAGAGTTATTGACTGATCACAGTTATTCATGCAATCAGTTAAGCACCATTCTAATCACACTGTTAAACAAAAGACTACCAATTCAAATGTATTAAATTTTTTAGGTGTTTTTCTACATTTTCAAATATAATTATTTCAATTATAGCACAGAACACAAAGTGTACAGTGCTCACATTATAATATTATTTGTCTTATCGTTTTACAGTGCATATGTTTGTAAATAATTTTCAGTTCACCTGATACAAATGTTGTGGTTCAATCTCTTTATCATGAAAGTGCCACTTACAAATGTAGAAATTGTTACATAATTACACTAAAAAATGAAACAATGCAAAACTTCAGAGCCTACAAGTCTGCTCAGTCCTACTTCTTGTTCAGCTGCTAAGATAAGTTTATTTACATTTACAGGAGATAATGCTGCCCACTTCTTATTTATAATGTCACCAGATAGCAGGCATTTGCATTTTCATGGCAATTTTGTAGGTATTTACGTGACAGATAGTCTAAACATTTGTATGCACCTTTATGCTTTGACCACCATTCCAGATGTCGTGCTGACAACACTCGTTTTAAAAAAAAGTGTTAATTAAATTTGTGACTGAACACCTTTGGAGAGAATTGTGTGTCTCCAACTCTATTTCACTGACATTCTGCAATAAATTTCATCTTCTAGTGGTTTTGGATGATGGCTCAGCACATATTTGTTTTAGGAACACTTTCATTGCAGATTTGACAAAACACGAAGAAGATACCAATGTGAGATTTCTAAAGATAGCTACAGCGTTCAGCGGAAGGTTTAAGAATCTGAATGCCTTCCAAAATTTGAGAGGGATGAGATGTAGAGCATACTTTCTGCATCAGAGTGTTGCTCTTTTAAGCGTTCTGAAACTATAGAACCTGAACCCCCACAAAAGAAAATCAACCTTCTGCTTGTGTCATCTGACACAACTTTGAATTGTTATTGAGCAGAACCCATCATCAGCATGAACATTTCTATGGTTGTTGAAACATGAAGGAAAGTATGAAGCTTTAGTGCATCTGGCATGTAAATATCTTGGCTACAACAGTACCAAGTGAACGTCTGTTCTCACTTTTAGATGACATTGTGAACAAGCAGCAAGCAAATTTAAACAAACTCGCTTGTCTGAGTGATTTGCTGAACAAAAAATTGGACTGCGTGGAATTGTAGACGCTAAAGTTTCACATTGTTTTATTTTTGAAGGCAGTTATGTTTTGTACCTAATTCTACATTTGTAAGTTCAACTTTCATGATAAAGAGATTGCACCACAGTATTTGTATTAGGGGAACTGGAAAATACTTCTTTTTTTTTTTTTACAATGCAAATATTTTTAATAAAAATATAAAGTGAGCCCTGTATCTCTGTATTGTAATTGAAAATGTAGAAAATATCCAAAATTTAAATAAATAATATTCTAACATTGTTTAACATTGTGATTAATTATTATTAATTTTTAGTCACTTAGCAGCCCTACTAATCAGGTGAGAAGTAGTAGTATTTGAGCAGCAATGCGAGTTTTAGGTGTCTCTTTCCCAGATAGATTACCAAAGGGCTCCTTTGGCTGGGAAGCCCAGGCAGGCGATAGACTTTGGTTGGTTTTGCAGCTGGGGAAGTTTTCAGAAAGTCCCCATGTAACAGCTTATCTAAATATTGTACTTTAGCTGTGACTATAGGGGAGAGCAGGTATCCAGTACAGGTTGTGGCTCGCTAGTGAGGACAGTGTGGTGGTGGCAACTGTCAGCTTCCTAACTTGGTAAGTACCAGATGTAGATCTAAGATGATGTTCAGAGGCAGATGATTGTGCCCCACTGACCAACAACTGACCCTTTGTTGTTTTTATAACACTTCTCACCATAGGCGTGCACAGCACATTTCATTAGGGTGTGCACCCAAAGAATTTTTTTTTAAATGTACTCTGACCCCCCATTAGTCACACCCCGTGACCTCCATTAGCCACGCCTCTGGGGGTAATACTTTTGGGGCAATATGGACACATGACCAGAAATAAAAGTCCCCCCCAGGACTTTTCTCACCATCCTCTTACCAATAGGGATTAGTTTGGCCCTCACCAACTGCCCCCGCCCCCATGCAACTATTCTGCAATTCCTTTAACCCAATGTGTGTGACGTTAACTCGGGGGGTGGAGAGGCTGGGGGAAGTGTCCCCTCTAAGAGTTTCCTCCCATGAGCACAATAAATTTTGTGTTGTGCACCAGTACTGAGTTTCTGGCTTGTTTGGATGTGCCACTGTAGCCCCAAGTTATTAATACGTATCTTATAAACCTCTACCATTTCCCTCTGCTGCCATATCTCCTCCCCTTGCTCCATCAGCTCCCTTGGTGTCTGCTGCCCCCCTCACCCACCTCTGCTGTCCTGACTCCTGCCTTTTTCTCTTCCCTCAGCCTTCCTGAGACCTGCCCCCCTCCACCAGCCCTTCTCTCCTCCAGTAGCCCCACTCTGGTCATGTGAGCTACCCCTCCTCATCCCCTCTCCTAACACCTCCCACTACACACCTGCCCTGCCTCTCTCCACTGGTGCTGGTTCCTCTCCTGCAGGCGTCTGCCCTTCTGTTTCACCCCTAGAATCCCCTGGCACCTGCACCTTCCCTTACCCCTGCACCCTCCTGGTGCCTCCCCCTTCCCTCACTGCTTCTGCCCTCTTACCCTCTTTTTCCCTGATGCCCCTGCCCCCGCCCCCTTTGCCCTCTTTTTCCCTGATGCCCACCCCCTCATCACCCTCTGCCCCTGTTCCCCTTATGCCCGTGCCCTCACAGATGCCTTGCTCCATCCCCGCCTTCCTCATGCCCACCCCTTCTTTCAAGCCTTCTCCCAGCACCTCCCCCTCCCCCTCTAATCCCCAGTGCCCTTACCCTCTCCTCTCCCAGCATCACCCTGTCCCCCCTCCAACTGACACCTCCCCTCCTTCCCTTTTCCTCACTGTCTCCACTTGGCCCCTGGCATTTGTGTCTCCTTTACCCTGTCCCTTGGTCCTTTCCCCTTTTTTCTCCTGACCTGCCCCCCTCCCCTCAGCACAAGCCCGTTCCTCTCCCACCTCTTCCTCTTATTTTCCCCCCTTCCCCTGCCCTCCCTTACCTTCGGCTTTTGCCTTCCAATTCGTGGGGCTGGAGTCAGAGCCAGCTCAAGCTACAGGCCGGCCAGGCCCTAGCGCGGGGTGCCACCAGGGTGCTGCGTGGTGCTGCCGGGTTGGGCGGGGGCCCCTCAGGGGTGCCGCGTAGTGCTGCTGGGGCCTGGTGTGGAAAAATGGTGCTGGCCAACTGGCCGGCGTCTCTAATCGTGCCCCAGCTGCTTCTGCGGCACCCTGTCACAAATCTCTCTCCTTCTCCAGCAGCCGCTAGCCGGCCCAAGACATGATTAGGGTGTGCCTGGGCACGCCTCGCACACCCTATGCGCACACCTATGCTTCTCACTTGTGCTGTATGGCAGACAGCATTCAACCACATGTCTGCCAACTGATTCAAAATGCTCCTTTTGGAGGGGATGGGCCCTATCCCCATCACACTGTCTGCTCCCTGTATCATCTCATGCAGAAAATAAATATGTGGAATTGACTGTAGACTAAGGCCTCTCATATGGCAAGTGTGCCCATGGTACTGACACACAATTTTTTTTTAAAGCCAGTTATGGTCTGTGTATCCGGTAAGGCTGTGTTCCTAAAGCCCCATGCACATACATTTGTATTCTTTAGCAATACAACCATGCTGATTTGGGTGTGATGCCATCTAGTTTCAAGGCACACCTAAACTTGCAAAGAAATTGAAAGAGTTAAATTTCAACTGATTAAGTTATGGTTGGGTGTAGTGCAAGCATACAGGTGTAGTGCAAGCACTATAGATCTGTCAATGTATCTCTCTACTGACTGACAGCAGCCTTCTTGTCCATGTTGTGAGTATACATTGAATTTTTTTGGCATTATTATTTAGTGAAATGGTCACAAGAGACTGGACTAAGATCACTGAACAAATTACTTATTCAGAGCTAGTCAATTAGCCTTTGGCAGTGGTACTTTTTTAAACAGCAAAAACAAAGTTTCTTTTTCAGACCTTGCAAAAGCATTGGACCTGGATTCTCAGACCACAGTGTCCATTACCAGCACAAATGCCTGTAAAGCAGCTGGCACCAAAGAATTAATCAGCATCCAGTGATAGTATGTCAGCTTTAGCAGCTGCCAGCTTTATTTTTAAAGGCACCTAAAGTGCTTATTTAGGCACAGCGCTGTAGCTTATTGAAAGACAAAGCATTGCTCTGGGTACTTCATTGTGCCTGACAGCTAAGATGAATTAATCACGTGCAGGCTGAGCCATGGCAAGAGGATGAGAACAGAATGGAAGTATCCGGCATTGAGCAACATAATCAGCACTCGGTCTCCAAGTGCTGATCTACAGATG